AACAGAACATGTGTAGGAGATTCTCCTCTCTGGTGGGTTTCCCTCAACCCAACACAGAGCAGAAGAGTAACGGATTCTCTTGCAGGAATTCATGTTCTAGACCGAGACTGGAGAACCCCAAGGCATCCAGATGTTGTTGGGCTGCATCTACCACCGTCCCTGGCTATGGGCCATGCTGGCTGGGGGTGATAGGTCAAACAGTACTTGGAAGACCACAGCACTCCCCCTTCCCTAATCTAAACCAACGTTTGATTGAACACTGTATAATGTAGAGTTGAGGACATTATTATTCACAAAAAAGCACCCTGGAAAGCTTCAAAGCAAGACAGGAAAACTTCAGGTTTTAATACTAATTAGAAGCTCCTGTCTCCTAGGTGTGAGGTGTTTATCTGTGGAAAGCAGGAGATAGCGTTGCAAAGAAGAAACGTGTACGCCGGGGAATTGAAGATCCAGCAAATGGCTGACTGGATTAAAAAACAACAACCCGCACATGCCATAAAAAAACAGAACAACAACCAACGCTCCCTGCCCCCACCAACAGCAGATGAATTAAGATGTTGTGCAGCACATGACGGCTTCAAGAAAACAGTTCATGGTTTCCCCCTGCTAATTCAGAAATACCTGAAGATGACACACCTGCAGCAATAAAATGAAGCCTTTCTCTGCATTATTCTGCAATTCTGTTCTGTATTTATTTTTCTTTTTTGTAAACTGAGCTAATCTCTTGTCCAGATAGGATGTTATAGCAACTGGAATAGTTTAGCATTTGTCACCCGACATAACCCATATATCTTCCACGTTGGTGATACCCATGGACCAAACACAGGTGTGCCGTCCAGATAATTCACCCCAAAGAGCTAGTCATTCTTTTTTTCCGTGGTTGTCATTTTATAACAGCTATAGAAATTAACTCAATCAGGACATTAAAGTTAATGAGGAGATTACAAGGCAGCGTTTATGAAATAGCTTGAAAGGTTTTAAAACATCCCCTCACTATGAGGTAGGCGCTGTGTCACACAAAGGTGTGTGTGTTGCTATTTGAATTACAATCCCAATAGGGCAGCTGGCCAGCTAACATGCATGAAGACAAGAAGATCAGAGCTTTCACGGGAGACAGAAGGGACACCAGAAGTACTAGACCTGTGCATTTTTTTATTTATAAAAAAACTTTGTATAACACACACACAGACACACACACACACACACACACACACACACACAATCTTTGTGCTGTAGCAGCCAATGGAAACAGAGGAGAAGCAGGAGTCTAGAAGTTTTGCCTGCCATTTGCTCATGTTCACAGGGAAGCAAACTGCTACCAGAAACCAGGTGGGTCAGAATTAAGTGGCTAATAGCAAAGTCTTCATTAGGGTGTTGGAAGTCTGAGGACATAATGTAATATAAGTCTGCATGATCAGGCCAATGGTCCCTCTAGCTCAGCATCCTTTCTCACAGTGACCAAGGAGATGCCTGTGGGGAAGTGGCAAGCAGGCCAAGAGGGCAAGAGCACTCTGCCTACCCATGATTCCCAGCAGCTGGTACTCCGAGGCATATGACCCCTGACCATTGTCATTATGGCTAGCAGACATTGATTGCCCTGCTCTCCAACATATGTGCCAGCTCCTAGGGGGTGAGGCAGTTTTAGCCACCCCGATGGTATTTTTAAGGGTGCCAGGTCCCCTCAATGCTCAGAAGGCATTCGGCTCTGCCCCCGGCACCTCACGATACTGCGTTGGGCCCCCTCTATCAACTTGAGAAGATGGTGCCTCAGCTCTCCATGGATTTGTCCATTGAGAGCTGAGGCACCATCTTTTAAAGCCTTTAAGCCTCTTTTAAAGCCATCCAAGTTGGTGGCCATTGCTGCCTCCTGTGGGAGGTAGTTCCCAAGTTTAACCATGTGCTGCCTGAAGAAGTAGCTTCTTTTATTTGTCCTGAATCTTTCAACATTCCCCTTCATTGGATATTGATGAAGTGTTATGAGGGATGGAGAAAAACCTTTATCTATCTGCTTTCTTCATACCATGCATTAACTTCCATCATGTCACCTCTGACTTGCTTTTTCTCTAACCTAAAAAGTCCCTTTTCCACATAGGGATGTTGATCTATCCCCTTGGCCATTTCGGTTGCCCTCTTTTGGATCTTTTCCAACTCTACAATATGCTCTTTGACCAGTACTGTCTGTGCTGTTCTAAATGCAAATCCTTGGCAGCGGTGCCACTGTTGCTTACTGGGAGGGAGAGGGGAAAGGGTCAGGTGATGGGGAGGTAGTGGCTGCCTAGTCTAAATGTTGGGAGCACTGGATTGGATCTACTGGTGCACCTGCTGTTAGGATGCTGTTGGCGGCTCCCGGCTGGTTGCCCAGGAAAGTATAAGACAAGGAAAAGTTTCTAACAGTCCTTTTCTATATCAGTCTTTACAGAGAGAGGCTATAGAACCCAGCTTCTTGGATAATGGCAGTGTCCCAATTGAATTTCCACCCCCCACCCGTCTCTCCCACTTCCTCATTTGTCGTTCTCATCATCTCTCCCACAGGTGCTGCTAAGCGTCCTCTGTCTTTGAGCTCTTTGCTCTCCTACTTTTAAGGCTTGCCAGGTTCTGGGAGATGGAGGGTCTGGAATACTTTCTAATGACAACGTGTCAGCCAGGTGTTGCTTTGGCTCTCCCATGATTTCCCAACTTTCCCCCCTCATCTGCCTCTGAGCTGTGACCTCCCTCAAACCACTGTTGTAAATCTATATGGTCTTCCTCTTTCTCCTTCCTGGAAGGGTCAGGATGGGGAGGCGGTCTCCACCATTCCTCCTGTGCCCAGTCCCTGATACCTGCACAGTTCTGAGCTCCCTGCCACCATGGTCCTCACCCTCTCCCTTCTGGTAAACGGCATTGATGCTGCTGCTGAGGACTTAATATTATGGCTGTGTCTCAAGTGGCTCCTGTCTGAAAGTCAATGAGCGTGTACAGAGTGCCTGTCTCAGACTACTCAATAACCACAATGTATTGCATACAAACTAGGGAGCAGAGTTTCAAAGTGGGAGCTGGGAGTCTTCCAGGCTGCAGGGTCATTAGTTAAACTTATGGAACTCTTCAATGCAAGGTAAAGCCAAATGTGGAGGCCAAATACTTATCACAACTTTAAGAAATTCTGGACAGTTGTGTGGCACTTCTGAACATTCATTAAGCGGGTTTAAAAATGTATAAACTATAGCAGCCCGTGTGTCTAAGAGCATAAATCTAAGCGCTGACTGCCTGAAGTTGGATAGAAACTTCCACTGCAAGCTTATTAGCACATAATTGTCTGTTATGGGTGTTTTATGTCTTCCACTGATGCATCTGCTAGACGCTACTGTCAGAGATGGGTTATTGCTCTAGATAGATTATTGCTTTGATCCAGTATGTAAATTACTATATTCTATGGCAATCTCATGCTCTTCCTCCTATTTCTGCCTCCGCTGCTGACCTTCCTGTCGTGATGCATAACAGTAGGATGACAACATGGCTATTTCCCACTTCATTTTTGCCCTTAATGCTTAATCTAATCTATCAGGAATTGCTCAGAAACAGTCAGTAGTGATTTTGCCCTCCTTCCGTTCTGAACTGAAAGAAGCTCAGTGTATTATTTCTGCTATACTTTGGGAGGCTCATTCAAATAACCCAAGTACCTATGTCTGGCCACAAGTTGCAATGGAAATAGTTGAAAACACACTAGGACAAGGGCCCCCATTCTGTGGTTCCTGGAAGAATACAACTTATTTGTGGATTTCTGGCTGAAGATGAGAGGCGGCATATCAATCACATTCACTATCTAGCATTCACTCTGCTGGAAACCCAGCCAGATGGGCAGGGTATAAATAAAATCATTATTATTATTATTGCTTTTTTATTTCTTAGATTGATTTTTAATGTAATAGAATTTGGGTTTCAAATTGTAATACAAATATAAGAAATAAAAGAAGCAATATAAAGACAGTTAAAAGTCATACAGCATCTATGCTACAATCAGGAAAACAACAACATTAAGTGGTCCACCAAGACTACAGTTGTCATTGTCAAGTGGTCCATGAGGGAAAACATTTGGGAACCAGTGCATTAGATGAAGGAGGGAGGAGGAAGTCAATGACCAGCTCCGCAACTTGGCTTCCTGGAGGCATCTGGTCCTTAACCTCAGATCATTCAGATGCCACAACCTGGCCTACTCCCAGGATGCAGAAGCTGTTGCCCCCAGTTGTTGCTGGAGTACAACTTCCATTATCCCTGACCTTTGGCCATACTGACCAAGATCAATAAAAGGACCAATATAACCAACAATAAACACTGGTTGGTAAAAAGAAATCCACATTTCAAAGCCTCTTTCGAATACTACAGTTTTGAAAATAGGTCTAAGAGGAGGCAGGGGTGATTCCTGCTGGATCTCTCCCAGCTTGGAGTTCCATAGGGCAAGGTCTGCCGTCCTGAAGGCACAGTCCCTGGTAATGACCAACCAAACCTCAGGGGCACAGGGGACCATTAGAGGTGCCCCATCAGAGGATCTGCATGATCAAGGTGAAGCCTAAGGAACTATGTGGTCCTTAAGATACACGGGACCCCATTTGCTTAGGGTTTTGTGAACTAACCTTTAGCAATCTGGCAGCTAGAGCACCTGTGTCAGCAGAGGGATAACATGTTGCCAGCATCCTGCTCTAGCAAGCAGCAGGGCTGCTGCATTCTGCTGCTTACTCCTGAATTATAAGGCGAGAAATCCCTTCTCTTTGACATACTTAAAGTATTGGGCTATTGGGCTGCATATTTTTAACATTCTTATCTTCCTCGCAGCTTTTATTCAATCTTATGCCTGCTGTTTCTTTCCACCCTTCAGGTTCCGTTCATTGTGCTACACTTGAGGTGAGGCATGCAATGAATGGTAAATATAGCACTTAACTGCTGTTTGCAAGTTATTCATTTACAATGCCGCTATTTAACTGTTACGGTGGTAGAGCACATGCACTGCATGCAAAAAAGTCCCTGGTTCAATCACCAACTAGACCTAGGAAAGACTGAACCGATGCCCATCAGTTTGACCATCGGTGGGGAACCTTTTATAGCCTGTTCAAGGCGGCTTCAAGGCAGACAAAAGCAGAGAAGGAGGATGTGGAGCAGGGACGCTATGGGGAGATGCCTGGAAATAAGTGGTGTTCCTTGGAGCAGGGATATTGGCTGGGTTCAGCCCCGAGAAGCCCTGGGCCTGAGATTCCTCACCATTTGGATGAGACAATGGTAAGCAAAGCTTTTATTCTTGATTAGCATATCCTCCAACTGTCCTGATTTTCCAGGGATGGTCCTGGAATGACAAAAGCTGCTCCAGCTTCTGTGATTTGATCCCTATTTCCGCCACCAAACCTGGGGAGAAGGATAAGCCAGTGCTTGTCCTGAGACATGGAAGTGAGGGATGATCCCATGACCTTTCCATGGCTGCTGCTGCCGGCCTCCTCACCCTTGGACAGCTTGTGGTGTAGTGGTTAAGAGCGATGGACTCATAATCTGGTGAACCGGGTTCGCGTCTCCGCTCCTCCACATGCAGCTGCTGGGTGATCTTGGGCTAGTCACATTTCTTTGAAGTCTCTCAGCCTCACTCACCTCACAGAGTGTTTGTTGTGGGGGAGGAAGGGAAAGGAGATTGTGAGCCGCTTTGAGACTTCTTCGGGTAGTGATAAAGCGGGATATTAAATCCAAACTCTTCTTCTTCTGGTGAGGAGGAAGAGAGGCTGCTGCCACCGAGGTCCAAACCCACATGATGTACAGGCTCTGAGAGGCAGGGAGAAGGCAGGGCTGCCATGGGTGGGAAGAACGGGGGAGTGGAGCGCAAGGAGTAATAATAATAATAATAATAATAATAATAATAATAATAATAATAATGTTTTGTTCACCCATGTATAATCTTGCCTCTTTCTGAAATTTATTTATCGGTGTGTTTTTCTTTTTTGTATATTTAACCAAAGAATGAAATAAAATAAAATAAGGATTAAGGGGTTTTCTCAAGACAGTGGAGGGCATGTGTGCTGTGTCTCATTGGTGCAGTGGTGATGGCTCTGTGGGGGGCTCAAGGAGGGCCAGTTGGGCAGGGGGGAGTGAGAAATGCCCCTATTTTCACTGGAGGAATGTTGGAGGGTATGGATTAGGCCTGGATTAGGCACAGCATATTCACAAACTTCTCCAACCAAGCCACCCATCTGAATCAGGTCTCTAGGAGCTGGCCTCCTGGGTCATAGCTATTTCTCTTATAGGGGCTGTATGCCAGATATTTAGTTGATAATGCATATATTACACCTCTGGCGTTGACAATCCTGAGCTAGAAGGAGCAATATGATGACTCAATAGAAGGCAATCCTCTGGCCTCTCACCCCTCCTCAGTTGCCTAAGATTGATTCATCAGGTGTCTCAGGGCGATTCACACATGCTTGTTCATCAGATCACAGCTACAGTGTCCTATGATGACTTGCCAGAGTCAAAAAACCATTACTGGAGAGACACTACAAGCAGAGGTATCAAATGGCTTCTCATCAGTTCAAACACAGTCCTTTCCAGTGGAGGTAATTCACACACCCAGTTGTAAATCATCAAGTGACAGTTTTAAGTTGATGAGACATTGAGTGATATATGCATGTGCGAATCAGCTCTGACAAATGTCGGATATATACTTGGTTTCTCTCTCTCTCTCTCTCTCTCTCTCTCTCTCTCTCTCTCTCTCCAGTTCGTTATTTAAAAATCTGCTTTCTCTTTCTTGACTTGGGCCTACTATGCCAAATTTGAAAATGCCTGGATGCTAAATGCTCCTTTGAATCATGATTATTGGCTATTCAAAGTTCCTGCTGTAAAATTGGTCACCAAAGTGGCTCCGTGTTCAAACTGCTGCCTGAATGAGTAAGCCTTTGTTAATTACTTCTGCCAGGCACTAATTTAGTTTCATAATAAATGGTTCTCAGCTGTTGGCCTGAAATTTACTTTCCATTAACTTTGTTTGTATTGCAAGTGTTTGAAGTGCTAAAACTTTTTTTTTTCTATTTAGGCCACTATATATTGGAAGTGACTAAACTATTTACACCGGCATATAACCTTGTTCTTTGCTTAGCTGTAATTCAGTAGCTTTTCATGCTGTGATGAAGAGTTCAGCATAACTCCAAAGCCTGCACACATTTGCAGTAATAGAGCATCAGGAAGAATTACCACGAACATTTGATTCCCTAATCTAATCAGTAATGTAATCCTAATAGCAACAATACTTAGTTCATAGTGTGTTCCCCTCTCTCCCAAAGCATTTGGTTTACATCAGTTCAATTATCCTTGCAAGGTAGGATAATATTATTATCCTCATCTTATATGGGGAGAGATGAGGCTGAGGATTACATTAGGCAGCAATGCAAGAGATGTATCGATAGTCCTCCAACACTTAAAAACAAAAAGCACCAATGACTTCCAGATTCTTTGAAGGAATATCAACAAAGGCTCACAATGCTTGAGGAATTAGTTCTTTGCAAATCTAGAATGAACTGTCCAGATCTGCATACTCTGGATGTAAGTGTGATTAGAATATGCATCTTTATCATTCCAGTTTTCCATATCAAATCAAATCAAGTAGACTTTATTTGCGTAGCCGACAGGCCATAGCACCAAAGGACAAACACCGACAAAAATACATTACAAATATAAATACCATAAAATCTTATGACCTATTAGAACCCTAGGTAGAAGCTGGATTATCATGTCTATTTCCATGTCTATTCTCTGATGTACTTCATTTTGTAACGTATGTGTTTAGGAACGCATGCTTTATGAGGTAATACTTCAAGGGAAGCGTAGTCAGAACAAACAGAGACCAAAAATAGACTGATATATCTATCCCAAGGAGAGAGCGGTTGGTTGACTGTTCTTCCTGATGCCTTTTGCCTGTTCAAATTTGCCTTTCCTGAGCTGCTTTACTCCCTGTAGGCATGTGGCTCTCGCACCTTTTTGCCCTTCCCCAAATTCATTTCTATGGATGGAGGGCATAGCCTTGCTTCTAGACCCCCACATTTCTCCCCCCAGTTCACTGGAGTCCCTAATGTAGGGGCTGGCTAAGCCGTTTCCTTATTTTTATGAATGGACTGCAGAGATGAATGTTCCGCTTCATGACTTTATCCTCAGATCTACAGTATGTTCATGAGCTAGTTAAAATTAAACTTAGCTATCAAAATGCTAAACCTGATAGCTCATTTATCTTTCTGTCTCCCAACTCCATGTTACAATACAGCTGTGATTGATCTTGCGTCTTCAAGGTACTATATGGTATAAAAACTAAGAGAAGATTAATTAAAAGCCGTCGCATTCAGACAGGTTTTTAAATAAGTTTTAGATTTAAACAATATATCAGCTGAAGCAGAAAGACTCTAAGCCCCAGAGCCTATGACTCCAAAGTATATATATTTCTCTCTGTTTTGGGACATCTGGATATTCTTGCTCACGACTTGGCTAACTTCAAAGATATACAGAGTCAAATGTTCTGGACTAACGCAGGGAAATGTATATATTGACATTTAAAAATAATCTTCAGAGCAGGGGTGCCTCTAGAAGTGACTGGACTTGCCAACAGCCTCTTTCTATTGCAGCTTACCATACATCAAGCCTGCCTAGTGTAGGATCACAGGGCACATGAAATCATCTCAAAAATTATCCTCAACATTCCCCCCATCCCCCGTGAATGCTGCTGTCATATATACTCTGAATATGTTTTTTTTTTCTTGAGTGCCACGAGGGGAAAAGAAATAGCAACAAGATGGCAGTGGATTTCAGAAAGACTGGGATTTGGTTAAGGCATTTATTGGATGGGCCAATAAATGGGGGAGAAATTAATTCAGCTCACATACGAATGCACAGCTACCTCTGTAGAGCACTTCTCCTCAGACCAATACATGAACCAAACCGAACATTGTGATGCGGTGCTCCACCCCAAAAATGCATTGAAAAGCATAGTGTGGTATAGTGGTTAAGAGCAGTGGACTCGTAATCTGGTGAACTGGGTTCGCGTCTCCGCTCCTCCACATGCAGCTGCTGGGTGACCTTGGGCTAGTCACACTTCTCTGAAGTCTCTCAGCCCCACTCACCTCACAGAGTGTTTGTTGTGGGGGAGGAAGGGAAAAGGAAAATTGTTAGCCGCTTTGAGACTCCCTAGGGTAGTGATAAAGCAGGATATCAAATCCAAACTACTACTCCTCCTCCTCCTCCTCCTCCTCCTCCTCCTCCTCCTCCTCCTCTTCTTCTTCTTCTTCTTCTTCTTCTTCTTCTTCTTCTTCTTCTTCTTCTTCTATATATCTGACAAATGTGCATATCACTGATAACAGCATGCAAAGATGTATTATGCTGGGGTAGATTGCTTGGGAAAATGTGCATATTAGGAGAAATGCATGCAAAATGCATATGAATTCGCATGCAGATTTTTTTTTATATAAATTATTTTTCCAAACTGATCTTAACACTAGAAAAATGAGAAAACGAGAGAAAGCATTTGCATGGTGTGTTTGTATGGTTGGTATGCTGGTGGCAAACTCCATCTCATCTGGAGTCATACAGGTGATGTCAAGTGTGGGAATGGGTCTTCTTGTGGACACCCAACTGCTCAGATCTCTGATTCTCATGACTTTCAATTCTTCTCACTCAGATAAAAAATGCAGATCACTATGGTTGGCCCAAGATATTTTGCTGCTTGAAATGATGGGTGGTCCTCCCCTCCCATTCCAAGTGCAAAAGTCAGGTGAATCTCACTCTAGCAATGGTGACAGGACAGCATCCTGGATTGCACGTAGGGCAGGAGGCATCTACACACAGCTCTGTTGTCCAATACCTTGCAGCCACCCACTGTGAACTTTCCTTAGCAGCAGGGCCACTGCGGCATCTACAGATGTGCTAATCATGGTGTTGATGCAGGAAGATGGGGGACAGGATGTTTGTGCCTGGTCTGGACCTGATGCTGTCACTTGACAGATATGAGACTGGCTCATGCCCCTTCTCTGCCTTTGGAACATCCAATTTTGGATCTTCCCATGGGCAGGGATTCCACCAGTGGCCTTCCTTCATCCCACACATCTGACGGCCAGCAGGAGGCTGTTTTAGCTAGAAAGTTGGGTGGTGGGACACCTTCCCTCATTCCAACTTGGTGTGAGGGTGGTGGTGGATTGCTGTTAAAAATCCAAAGACCTAAAACTAAGATGAAAAGGGGCATTCAATTGATATTATTTTACTTCCCT